GGATTACAGGCACGCACCACCATGCCCAGCTAATTTTTTGTATTTTTAGTAGAGACGAGGTTTCACCATGTTGACCAGGATGGTCTCGATCTCTTGACCTCGTGATCCACCCACCTCGGCCTCCCAAAGTGCTGGGATTACAGGCTTGAGCCACCGCGCCCGGCCAAAAAGCATTCTTAAGACCCAAGAAATTCCAGGGGATCTAGTAGCTCTGTGTCAGGAACTGAGATCCAAGACCGAATATTAGATGGTCTAATATTTGGAGCTAAAGATGCTCCTGGTGTATTTTCCCATTTTTCACAGCATCATAGCATTGCAAATAATCTCATTTTTTTAACATATGTCCTATCTCTGATACATTACTTCACTTCCAAGGTCCTGGGAGATAAGGAAGCAATGGCATCATTTTTCAGGGTTGTTTCGAGGGTGGGGGACAAGGCCTCTCACCTCTTGAGACAGAGTGGCAGTGTAGGACCCACTAATAGAGGATCCCACGAACTGGGCCAGAGGGTGCAGTATGTAATCTGGCAAACAAGGGAGGAGGAGGAAGAGAGCATGGGGACTCAGGATGAACGCAGAGTATTCAGGACCCTCCATCCGCTGAGGGTTTCATGCTGGCCTCTGATTCTGTTTTTCTCTGGTATTGCCCTAGAATTCTTCGACTTTTCTTATGACCTCAACCTGTGTGGGCTGACAGAGGACCCAGATCTTCAGGTTTCTGCGATGCAGCACCAGACAGTGCTGGAACTGACGGAGACTGGGGTGGAGGCGGCTGCAGCCTCTGCCATCTCTGTGGCCCGCACCTTGCTGATCTTTGAAGTGCAGCAGCCCTTCCTCTTCGTGCTGTGGGACCAGCAGCACAAATTCCCCATCTTCATGGGACGAGTTTATGACCCCAGGGCCTGAGACCTGCAGGGTCAGGTTAGAGCGAGCGCTACCCTTCTAGCCTCGGCTCTCAGTTGCAGCCCTGCTGCTGTCTTCCTGGACTTGGCCCCAGCCACCTCCTGCCTCAGGTGTCCGCTCTCCACCAAAAGGGCTCCCTCAGGGTCTGGCCGAGGGACCTACTTCTGTTAGCTCTTCTCCATGGCCCTGCCATGCTCTCCAAGCCACTTTTTGCAGCTTTCTCTAGTTCAAGTTCACCAGACTCTACAAATAAAACTTGGCAGACCATGACTTTCTCCGCTTTGCCTTTGTTGTTGGTTTTTATTTTTTTTAGGCAGGATCTCACTCTGTCACCCAGACTGGAGTACAGTGTTGAGATCATGGCTCTCTGCAGCCTTAACCTCCTGAGCTCAAGCGATCCTCCCACCCCAGCGTCCTGAGTAGGTGGGACTGCATGTGCTTGGCACCATGCCCAGCTAATTTTTAAATTTTTTGTAGAGACGATCTTACTATGTTGCCTAGACTGGTCTCTAACTCCTGGGCTCTAGCAGTCCTCCTAACGCAACCTCCCAAAGTGCTGGGATTGTAGGCATGAGCCACCATACCAAACCTTTCCTTTGCTTTTGAATATCAGCTGCTTCAATATTAAAGGGCAAGAGCTCCATGGCTCCTGCATCAGCCAACTATTGCTGTATAACAGGTCACATTAAACTCAGCAGCTTCAAACAGCAACCCTTTGTTATTTCATGTAAGTTTCAGGGTTGGCTAGGTGAATTTGCTGATGTGGGCTGGACCTGGCTGATCTTCTCCTGGGCTCATTCATACCTCTGTAAGGTGTAGTTGGGTTGGTTAGGGGATGACTGGTCTTCTGTGGCTTCAGCCAGGACACCAGGACAACTTGGTTCTTCTACGTGTCTTGTATGTCCATCTAGCAGGCTAGCCTGTAATGGAAAAGGGTCAAACAGGCAGTCTCTTTCTCACACCTCTGCTTGCATCAAGTTTACCACTGTCCTAGCAGCAAAAGCAAATCACAGGACCAAACCTAGAGTAAGACTGGAAAAGCACTGCAAAGTTACAGGGCAAAGAGCCATTAATTGGGGACTGTTCATGCAATCCATGTATCACCCAGCCAACCCTGAAACTTACATGAAATAACAAAGGGTTGCTGTTTGAAGCTGCTAAGTTTAACAGTGACTTATACAGCAATAGCTGGCTGGTACAGGAGCCATGGGAGCTCTTGTCCCTTAATATTGAAGCAGGTGATATTTAAAGCCTGTATCTTGCTTTCTTGTCTGCAACAACTCTGACAACAGTAATGACAGTAGCTAACATAATTGGGAACATAGGCAGTCTGCTAAGAGTTTTGCAGGCATTTAATTCTCACAATAACTGTATATGGTAAACTCAGGCTAAGTCTTGTTCAAAGGCATGTAGTTAGGAAATGATGAAACTGAGATTTAATAGCACCTCTTATGATTCTAAGACTATGGTTGGCCGGGCATGGTGGCTCATGCCTGTAATCCCAGCACTTTGGGAGGCTGAGGCAGGCAAATCACCTGAGATTGGGAGTTCGAGACCAGCCCAACCAACGTGGAGAAACACCATCTCTACTAAAAATACAAAATTTACCGGGCACGGTGGCACGTGCCTGTCATCCCAAGTCACTCTGGAGACTGAGGCAGGAGAATCGCTGGAACCCAGGAGGCGGAGGTTTCGGTGAGCCGAGATCGCGCCACTGCACTCCAGCCTGGGCAACGAGAGCGGAACTCCCATCTCAAAAAAAAAAAAAAAAGGACTATGCTCATAGCCACTATCTTCTGTGTTTTTGACCTTCTGTCTTAAAATTCTGCCTGTCTTAATATATCTGTTTGAAAATCGTTTATTGAATATCTAGCATTTAGACACTATGCTAAGCTCTGAGAATGTAAACGTGACTTACACCTAGTGCCTGCCTTCAAAATCTACAGTCTGATGAGAGAGACAGATAGGAAGACAGACTCTAACACTAAATTCTTTTCATATCTGAAGATGTCTCTGCATTTCTCTCATTTCTAGGTTAGACTCACTGATACTCCAGCTCTTACATCTTCCTTCAATCTCCCTTTCTCCCTCTCTCCTTCCCATCCCATGTCTTTGTCTCTGTCCCCCTCCCCTGTTTCTCTGCCTCTATGTCTCTCCATCTCCCCTCCCTTCCTTTCCTTCTCTCCTCGTCACAGCATTGTCCACCCAAACATGCTGACTGTGGTTTCTGGACTTAGCCCCTTGGCTTCTCAGGCTGATGAGGAAACAGATCCAAACCCTCCAGCCTGTCATCCTCACCCCCTCCCCAGCTCTTTCGCCCACATTTCTGACATTCAGGTTCCCAACCCCAAACAGCCCAGAGATGTGTGCCTTCCCCTAGCTACCCATGGAGATTCAGCTGTCAGTCCACAGACATTTATCAAGCATCTGCCTGATGTTGTGAAGATTTTATTTTCACATAGGATCTCCGGTCAAGCTAGTCTTTCCTGAGGTATTTCTGTAGGGTGGGTGTTTTCCTTAAGGCCGTGAAAGCCATCAGCACGTATGCTCACATCACTGCTGCCCTATACTCTGGGAACTTCTGCCACCTGCAAAATCTAGCTTCCCCATCTCCCTCTCACAGAATAGCCTGACGATAAGCAGAAACAGGAATGGGAGGCAGTGTGGTAACTGACCTAACTGGGTACCGCAGCCAGGCTTGCAATTCTCAGCCCTTTGAGCTGGTTCTCTTCTCTGTGGCCCTCGGCTAGGGGTGCCAAACTCAGGACTGAATGCAGGATGTGAGGCCACCCAGGCTTCCAGTAAGACTTGGTAAGGCAAGTGCATCATAGATACTGATTTCCAAGGACGTTCATTCCCCAAAGCCTAAACTTGGGTCCCTACGCCTTTCCTGTTTCATGCATATTCTCTTTGAGATCAGGGGTTCTGAGGGAGGAAGAAAGATGACATGGCGGATATTTATGGTTCATCCCTTGTCATGCAACGACTATTGCTTATTCCTGATTTTCAGACTGTACTTCAGCCCATGTCTTGCTATCTGGACTGTTTCTGGGGCAGGCTAGCTAGGCCAAACCTCAGGATGCCAAGTCCCAGGCCAGAGGCCTTCTATGCAGCTCAGTCTCCAAGCCAAAGCTGAGAACCAATCAAGAATCACCCAGACTTGACTTGTAGCCCAGGGGCCATTAAGAGATCACTGCTTCACACTAGGCTGGATTTACAGAGTGATGTTAGCATGTCCTTCCGTATTAGACAAGGTTCTCCAGAGAAACAAAAATAAGAGATAAAGAGAAAGAAATGTGCTGTGAGAGATTGACTCCTGCAATTATGGAGGCTGAGAAGGCCCATGATCTGCTCCAGAGGCCCAGGAAGGCCAGTTGTGAAGTGCCAGTCTAAGCCTGAAGGTCTGAAAACCAGGAGCACTGAGGTCCAATGGCAGGGGAAGATGAATGTCTCCACTCAGGCAGAAAGAGCAAATCTGCCCTTCCTCTACCCTTTTGTCCTATTCAGGCCCTCAGTGGATTGGGTGGCACCTACCCGCACTGGAGAGAGCGATCTTTTTTTTTTTTTTGAAATGGAGTCTCTCTGTCGCCTAGGCTGGAATGCAGTGGTGCAATCTCAGCTCACTACAACCTCTGCCTCCCAGGTTCAAGCAATTCTCCTGCCTCAGTCTCCTGAGTAGCTGGAACTATAGGCACGTGCCACCATGCCCGGCTGATGTTTTTATTTTTAGTAGAGATGGGGTTTCACCATATTGGCCAGACTGGTCTAGAACTTCTGACTTCACATGACCTGCCCACCTCAGCCTCCCAAAGTGCTAGGATTACAGGTGTAAGCCACTGCACCTGGTCTAGTGAGAACAATCTTCTTTACTCAGGCTCCCAACTCAAATGCCAGTCTCTTCAGGAAACAACCTCACAGACAACACCCAGAAATGAAATTTTACTAGTTTCCTGGGTATCCCTTATCCCAGTAAAGTTCACACATACATTCAACCACACCACATCTTCCCTTCTCAGTTTCCCAAAGTCAATCTCTTAGGATGCTGGGAAGACCCCACATTCCTGTCTGGGTGAGTCCTGCTTTGATTCTTATGTGAGAAACTGTTAAAAGCAAAGGCACCCCCCAAATACAGGAACACTCCCCTCTCCTTGGGGAGATCCTGACGTGATGAAGGTGGTGCTTAGTACCAATCTGAAATGTGAACCAACAAAGTAGGAGGTGGAAGGTGATTCTGACCCCTGTGGACACAGGACCTTGCAAATTTCTTTGACCCTTCCAATCATGCTGAGCCAAGTAATCTTCCCGTTTGTGAAATGTTGAAGCCAAAACTCAGAGAGGTTAAGTAACTATCCAAAGGTCAGACTGCTGCAAATCGATCCCACATTGTCCAAATTCAAGTGTGGTAGTTGACTTATTCAGGCAGTCTTATTTCCTTTTTGCCCAAACTCGACTATAACTTAAATCTGTATCTTCTTACTCCCTGCATCATGTGACCCCACAGAGCCCATCAAAGTATCTTGCACTAAAAAAAAAAAAAAAAAACTATGGAGGCCCGGGTGTGATGGTGGTTCATGCCTGTAATGCCAGCACTTTGGGAGGCCGAGGCGGGTGGATCACTTGAGACCAGGGGTTCGAGACCAGCCTAGGCAACATGGTAAAATACTGTCTCTACTAAAACATACAAAAATAAGCCAGGTGTTGTGGTGCATGCCTGTAATCCCAGCTAATCAGGAAGCTGAGGCATGAGAATCACTTGAACCCAGGAGGCAGAGGTTGTAGTGAGCCAAGATTGCGCCCCTATAATCCAGCCTGGGTGACAGAGTGAGATTCTGTCAAAAAAAAAAAAATGATGTAATGAATGATTAAATGAATGAGTCATCACATCCAGGTAGAGGGAAAGAGGAGATTCTTACTATCTGGAAAGCACAGAAAAATCTGGAAATGAAGAAAATTTATTTTTTATTTTATTTTATTTTTTGAGACAGGGTCTTACTCTATCGCCCAGGCTGGAGTGAACATGGCTCACTGCAGCCCTGACTCCTAGGCTCAGGTGATACTTTCACTTCAGCCTTCTGAGTATCAGGAAGCAGAATCCATCAGCTGATTGATCCTGCTTTTTAAAAAGACAGGGTCTTGGCTGGGCACGGTGGCTCATGCCTGTAATCCCAACACTTTGGGGTAAGGAGTTGGAGATCAACCTAGCCAACATAGTGAAACCCCAACTCTATTAAAAATACAAAAATTAACAAGGTGTGGTGGCAGACACCTGTA